TAAAGATCGAGGAGATTTTCGTGAAAAAATTGAGTGAGAGCTGTCGCCCTCAGTCGCAAAAATTTGTCGAAAAGTTTGAAACTTGGGACCGGAATAATTCACGCGATGTGACAAAGTACAAGTTTTAAGGGGTTTCTCAGCACGAGTCCGCCACAGAATCGTAGCGAATTAGCGCAACTACCTCAGAATGCGTGAGAAGCGGTTTTTGCGAGGAGTGCGTGAAAATTCAGCGCACAGGACCCGGCATAGGTAACAATCGGGACACCTAGACACTTGAACACTTTGGGTCAATTGCTACCGAATTGGGTGATCCAAATTCATATTGAGACTGAAAACATTTGTACGTGTGCTGCTGCACTGACGAATGCTTGCAAGGCGGCTGACAAGCTTATAATAAATATCTACTCTGTGCAAAAAAAGGTATCCGGGATTGAGACGAATGTCGATGCAGATTGGAGTGGAGGCTTGATTGTGGTGAAATCTCAAGCACGTAATTACGTATTATCAAGATGTTCAATCAAAGCTTGGCTAAGGATCCGGACCTACACTCGCAAAGAAAATTCCACTCAGGCTTACATCGAGCTGCCTGTGTCGTAGAAAACTTTGTTAGCGTTGTTGAATAACTTTTCATGTGATAAAGGCTTTAGCAACAGTGATCTAGAAAAGCGGCTCCAAGTATCGAATCTGATTAAAAATGTTCCTTGCCCGAATTTTTAGATCTTGCGCTAAGTGGAACAAAAGTAGCAGCAGAAAAGATTCAGATTATTTATTATTATCTTGATTTGCTACTAAAATTATTTATTCGGTTTCTCTCAGTTTTAGTCCTCCGCTGAACGGTGGTTTCATTTTATATGGATTGTGTTTACTTCCTGGATTCCAACCTAGACATTCACTTCAACGTTCTCAAGGTGCAATATCGTATATCAGTCATGGTGATGGAGGCTCAAATCCTAAAAAGCAAACTTTTTCCAGACTTCAGCCTTCCACAAGTTACATGAAGTCATGCAAGCGATGAGTTTAAAATTGCCTTTGTTGGGAGCTAAGGTCGCTTACAAAAGCACAAGTCTTATCAACAATGTCCATCTTGTTCCATGAGTATTAGGAGTTAGATTTGAGCAAATGATTCTTTAATTACGATTATCGCTTTCACTTATTTTCCAAACATCCTCTTTCGGAGAAAGTACAAAATAAAACATCATCAAGTGCTAAACCCAGTCCTTTGCAGAAAAGTCAAAAGCATGAATTTCCATCGCGATTCCAATAAAATTCTCAGTTCATGCACGGACAAATTTCTCTTCGTTAATTTTATCTCTTCGCATAAACAATGATTACAACCGCTGTCCTGGCACCTGTAGTCATTTTGGCAAACGTCAGTGACAAGGTCGCCATGGATTGCATCGCTGCGGGATGCCGTAGAAAAAACAGCGACCTTACTCCACGAAAAACTCCACTCAATCAGCATCGTTCACAACTTTTATGCCGTTGGTGCCATGGACACTGCTAATGTGAAGAGCAACAAATGAGGGCCCAACACTTCTGCGGAACTGCGGAAATCAAGTTAGGCGAAGAGGGCTTTTGAAAAATAGCATAGTTGAAGCATGCATATTCCCATTGCCTTTTCGCTAAGTTAATGATAAACTAACAAGTTGGAGTTGTGACTCGGAGCAACTCCAGATCCCTTGAGATTTGAGCAGCAGAATCACCAAATGATTGAGCATGGTGCTAAAAAATTTGCTTATCAAATCAATACTAGCTTACGATGAGCTTTCAGTGGTTCCTTCGTTTAACATTAAAACAATAAAAAAAATTAGGAGGACTGCTGTATACATGAGTATTCATATTCATACACCTATTCACTATTAGGTTGTCCCAAAAGTAAACTATTATACTTTTTCAAATAATTCAGTTTGTTTTCCTTAGGGTAACATTCGATAGAGCAGATCAAGCTCTACGAAATATCGACCAAGATCCACTTTACATTTCATGAAGTTTGGAACCAAAATCGAAAAAATTTTGTTAGCTGAAAGTTGGATTCCTGCGACAAAGAATCATACAGACCTTCAACATGGTCATTATACAGTAAGCACATAATAGTACTCAAATATGCCTTTACCGGATTTTATCCGAGCATGAAAGCGAGAAACAAAAATTGTTCTGTATGTGCTTTTGTGACCGAGAAATATCAAGTTTTGCATTAAAAACACCCCCAAAAAGGGGCATTTTGTCATTTTCGGACTATCTTTTTCTCTCAGTTTTGAGCCCCGGAAAAAATCTGCCAAATACATTTTTGGGTACTACTATGTGTCTACTATAAGACCAATTTGGAAGTCCGCAGGAATTTTCTGAAAGGAGATCCGATTTTTAGGGTAGCTGAAAGATTGTGATTTTTGGCTCTAAATTTTACCTGGACTAGTGAACCAGTAATTGGAGGTGCTAGATTGCATCAGCGCGCATCGGGACCGCACCGCGGTATCCCGCTTTCTGATGTTTTTTGAATTGAATTTACGATTCTTTATATATTATATTAAGATTGTGGACGGGTGGTAGATAGAGCTCGTTCCGCTCTATCGAATGGTACCTTAAGTATATTAGGAAAACAAGAATAGCTCAATTCATTTGATAATAGAGTTTACTTTTGGAACAACATAATATAATCTTCTTTACGACATATAGCTCGCATAATCTTTGTTAGGAGTTGTTGAAAACGACTTAATGTACTTATAAAACATGTTGATGGAAAAGCCAGAGACGAGTTGGTCGCTGACTTTCAAGTTCTTCGTCTTGTCCATAATTGAGACAAACTTTCTGTATGAATAATTTAGAAGTTCAATGTTTGTTTTTCCCAGAACGCGCCAACCGCAACACCTTCTAAAGGCTCCGTAGATCCATTCTGTTCTCTCTTTCACATTTGTAAAGCATCCGTTTTAGTTAGACTTGGTTAGTGTTCGCTAAAGTTGTCGTATGTTTTGATTCTATGAGTCAAGCATTTGTCAGACGATTCTCATCTTCAAATCACAAAAATGGTTTGGAAATAATTCTCTATCCATTCCGGTTATGAATAGCTTTTTTCCTTTTGAGCTCAAAGGATTGTTAGATTTTATCCGCGTTCGCGATACAAATCAATCATGCGCCTGCCATGTCGACGACTTTTTTATAAAATTCATTAGCGAGCTCTACTATAGTTATCCGATCGCTTCCATGCGATACCGTACAAAAGAATTGAGTCACGAAATCTTCACAACTATTTTTTTCTTGACTCACGCTTAGCAAGAACCTTTGTTGCATTCTCTACTAGAGTTATCCGTCGTATACTGCTATAACCGCACCCACACTCAAGTTTTACCACCCTTTAAGTGCAGCGTTTACCATAATCCACAACAATTCTGGACGTTTCACTCTGAGTTACCTCCTTCTTTCTTTACGAGTAATTATTTCTGTGGGAAGTAAAAAACCGATATAAATTTTTACGTAAACCTTTCACTTTTTTGGATGCTGAAAGGCGAGCCTTTGTTGAGCCTTGAACATTTCTTGATATTAAGTCTTATAAAAATATTGATTGAGGGTTATAAAATCCTATCCATCATACAACGAACTTTGTCGGCGTAGTCACTTTTAACAACTTCTTTTGAGCAGAAAAACTCCCATAATGGCCGACTCACTAATCACCATATTCTGATTGAGACATACTCTTTTTTCTGACAAATGTTAATACAGCATAGGAGATTCATCAAATTATTGTACAGCCGTGGTACCCGCTCCTTTACCAATCAGCCAAAAGATGCAAATTTCCAGTTTATTTGCTGAAAACTCGCGATGGAATTTTCTTCTGTAGACCACACCTATTTTTCTCCTTCTTCTCGCCTATCTAGAACTTTTGGCGTATGTCGTACTTTTTCGGTAAACCGTTTTCAAAGAAGACCTTGGAGGTTAAAATGTAATAAGAAGAAGAGTGGGCTTTGTTTGAGACAAGTTTGATTCCTAACTGGTTATTTGTTTGGAACAGAAAGCAAGCAAAAATTAGTGTAATATAGAGCATCACACGAAGAGATGACGCCAATAAGTATTTTGATTCCAGAAAAAAAAACCAAATGAGACAGATTGTCAATTATTAGCAAAAATATCCACTTTCGCAGTAATCCTAGTGAGGCTAGCTCGTATGCTTATGGCGGTGCCTCACCAAAACTGAGATAGGGCGATTCTCCTCATATTGTTGGGGAACCCCCTAAATAGGAAACTGTTCAAGTCGACTTAGTTTGGTCTTGTTACTACGAAAAAATTGCCTTGAAAACGGTCCAGCCAATTTAGCCCGCGCTGGCCGACTCTCCGATTTCCTTTTCTTGTTTTAACAAGGCTTTCCAGGCGATTGTTTTATTACATGTCTGAACCTACGGCGGAGACTAGAGTACATTCCGTCCATATTGCTTTCGAGGAGTCAAAATGCATGTTTTTGGGAATTTATAGCGAATTTGAACCCAGAAAGGGTCGTACTGGATCAAAAAGGGTTGCAAATTGCAGACGATGTCCAAGTTCTGGTGAAGCACTGCCTTCGAAATCAAAAATACGGTACGGCGGTAGGCTTTGTTCGTGTAGCGAGATCCATTTAATCACAAACATCAAAGTTCTCAAAAAATCTTAGAGAACGTTTGCGACGTGTAGATGGGTTGTCGTAGGTTTCGAAAAAGTCATGTAAGATGTCTTTTGAAATCTTTCGAGTTCATGAATCGAAACAAACGAGATATTTGCGTCAACGTGTCGATGGCTGTGTGGATAAGCGTGGCAACGTCCGTACCTATCGCAGCGACAAACGATGACCTTGCGATGCGATGGTGATGACACGAATCTGCGTTCATCTGAGAACACCATAAAGCTGTTTTCATTACATTCACTGCTTTGTCTCCTAGCATTTTGTCCGTTTTCCCTGCTCTGAAGAACATTCTCGAATAGCGCGGCTTTTTTGGACCTCTGGACATCACTGAAGCTAAGGATTGCTTTGTTTTCAGATGAGCTGTATATCGTTCCCCATGCCTCTCCCATTGCCACCTGTGCCTCCGGTCCTGCCCGAAACACCCAAGAAAAAGGTTTGTTTAGGATATTCAAGTTTCGGGGTCCATGCTAGATATAGCAGTTTTCCTTTTTTTTTTGTAATAATCTCGGTTGTGGTCAGTAATGGATGGATTACAAATTATGTCTTAATGGCGTAAATGGGAAGTCGTGAAGAACGAGCAAAAACATAAAAATCTAAACAGTCGGCCCCTAAAAAGAAGCCTTCAGCTGAGAAAATGCCCCTTCAATTATACCCTAGGTATATAACAGTCTATTTCAACCGGATACAATGAGAAAATTAGCGCCGCACACTTGTGTTAATCTATGTCAAATGACATATAAATTAAAGTGCACAGCTTCAAAAAAATAATAAAAGGCCTATACATTCACACGTTTGATCGATTCACATTATTATGTCTATCCAACCACGACGTATTCAATTATTTTGACTCTGTTATGTGGTTGATACTAATTCTCGAAGTACATTGCACTTCTGTGCTTAACCAATATCAGACGGTTTTCTTGACATATCTTTTGTGAAACAAAGAGCAAAGTCATAAGCAATATAAACAAGAATATCATCTTTTTTTCTTATTCAGTTTATTTATTCTGGAAAGCATTGATGATCATTCTCTAGCTTTACCAAGGATATAGAAAAGTACAAAAACGGTTCTTTGAAGAATTTTGACGATATCTTCAGTTTCATGTTTTCCTATATCATTATAGACTTATCTGTAGAATGTGTTTTTTTTTTACTATTCGCTTCTCTGAACAGCGCATCGGCTTGTGGTAAATTATGATTACCCGTCTCTCACCTAGGTATCACCATGGAAACAATCATATCTCGTGCCTTTACATTGCGTTATTGTCTTTTCGCAGCAACTCGTCGAAATTTGCTCGAGCGTGGCTGCTATGCCAATATCCTCTTGATAGTCACAATATAAATGACTTTACAATATTTATTTTTATCATAGATGTTACGTACACCTCTCTTTGTATAAAATTCCACAAATGAAGTTTGGTGAGTAGAGATTTTTCCTCCTCTTTCTGTCATTTGTAAGTATGTAAGCTCATGGAGAATTTTCCACTTGTGAGTGAATTTTTAGTTTTGAATCTTCAGTTTTTTTTTCGCAGAAAATGTGTAAACTAACAAAACCCCCTCAAGTTTCTCGATTTATTTGATATGCAAATTTCCTGTAAACGGTTTATCATGATTGGGCGCCTCCTATAACACAGCGAATAGCTTATCTCATGAACTTTCCACTTACAAAAGGGGATTATCCTCACTTAGGAGCATCGTGTTTAGGCACAATTTTACAGAGTAAAACCGGAAACATTCTACGCTGCTCTTCCGTTATCATCCACTTTGATATCCCGCAGTCAAGTGCTTCTCATTTTCAGCTGCCCAGTCATCGCTGCGGCTGTCGTTAGTTATTACTGTATATCACTTACTCGTAACCACAACTAATTATGTTTTACCTCGTTTTTATACTTCGCTACCGTTGCTAAGAAACGCTAAATCACAGTTTGTACCTGGTGGGTATGTTCATAACAGGTGTTTTAATTCCAACTCTCAGTGAGAAAAATGGTTAGCCAATGTTGCAATTTGTGAGGGGACGCACCTCTTGGGCATAGCGCTCAAATGTCAACCGCAAATCTGTCTTCTTTACCTATCTGACATCAGATGTACCATACCGCTCATGTTTCGTCATAAAAGTAACTCTAGCGGAGTTCCTCGAAATCGGCATCGCATTATGTATTGGTTCAGAGTGGATGAATTCCGAATCTAAGGCTTTGGCCATACTTCGCCAGTGTTGCCGGTGTTGAAAGCAGGGCCTGGCACCAGCTGGCACGGGGCAAGCTGGATATCGTTTTTGGGGCAAAAAGCAAAGGGGGTTTCGTTTTTGTGACCGAAGAGGCACGGAAAATTGGCGACGGCGACCTTTTTTTTTTAGTCGACGTTTCGTTTTTTGGGGGATTTTGGGGATTTTTTTAGGATTTTAGAGGGGATATCGTTGAGGATCAAAGGGGACTTCGTAAATTTTCCCAAAAGTCAAGGGGGACTTCGTAAAAATTGGCAAATTTCAAAGGGGACTTCGTTTTCAAAATTCCCTGGTGCCAGCTCGTGCCGAGCCCTGGTTGAAAGTGTTGCCAGTGTTGAAAGTGTTGAAAGTGTTGCCGGTGTTGAAAGTGTTGAATGGAAATCATCAGTCTAGCAGTTTCATTCTTTCTCGAACGATCTCACCGGCTGGTGAATACGTTGGAAATGGAATTGGGGAATGAGAAATGAAATTGAAATGAGACGGGGAAGATTTTCGCATGCAAAAGATCCTCAAACAAACTTTTTGGAAAGTGGATGGCTTGTCTGGAATAGGCAATCTCCAATATTTGAAAACGCTGCAGACCTCACTTAGATCCTTCACTCACTAATCGCAAGCGCGGCAGGATTCGAACTAAAACACATTACTACTCAGACCTCAGCTTTTTCAAATATTGGAGATTGCCTATTCCAGACAAGCCGTCCACTTTCCAAAAAGTTTGTTTGAGGATCTTTTGCATGCGAAAATCTTCCCCGTCTCATTTCAATTTCATTTCTCATTCCCCAATTCCATTTCCAACGTATTCACCAGCCGGTGAGATCGTTCGAGAAAGAATGAAACAGCTAGACTGATGATCTCCATTCAACACTTTCAACACCGGCAACACTTTCAACACTTTCAACACTGGCAACACTTTCAACACTTTCAACACTTTCAACACCGGCAACGCTTTCAACACTTTCAACACCGGCAACACTGGCGAAGTATGGCCAAAGCCTAAGAGAATCCTCGACTCAGCTTGATAAGGTGCATTTTCTGGTATACAGAAGTGCCCGTTGATACGGTGGTCATTTACACCGCAGGTCATATTCAGAATATCTTTTGGTTTTGCATACGATAAGTCGCTCATTGTGCCTATTCACCGCACAATGAGTAATCTCCTCTGACAAAAATCTACGAAATTAAACCGGTTACCGTATCCATACGGGCATTCTCACATATCAGAAGATGCATCTCGCCGAGTTGACTGAAGGATGCTCTTGGATTCAGAATTTGTGCACTTTGAAATCAAATATGGCATTGCGACGCGGATCTTGGCGAACTCCGGTCGAGTTCGGTGGCTTTTTTTGACAAATTTTGAGCGCTCTATAGTAGGGTTATACTTCGGCGATGAAAAGTTTTGGACCAAACGAGTGCAGAGATACGCTATCACGCCCTTGGTTAACGTATTCTACTATGTTCTACTATGTGAAAACTGCTTTTCTCACGCCTATGCAATAACATGCGGTGCGACAGCTTCTTTGATCTTTACACTTACTACTAATGTTCATTTACGCATAGAGATACACCAATTGCGAAAATTCTGGAGTACGTTCCGTAGATGAAAGCATCCTGCAGCTACGTATATTTTGCTGCATATCTTGTAGAAAACATCCAACTTGATCTCAAAATTTTGTTGAAGATGTGCGAGGAGATCAGTTACGACGAAATCTACATGCCTAGCGAGTTGGACGGAGGAAGTAACGAAGGTACGAGACGTCAAAGCACGGATGTGGAGGCACAAACACCTAAGAACGCGGACGACGAGGACAGAGAACCAGGAGAAGTGAAAGAGGAGAAAACAAAGTCTGCTGTTCATCCTCCTGAAGAAGTGAGTTCCCCTTTGAGCTCACTGTAATTACTCTAGAATAGCACGAAAGTTGTGCACCACTAAGTCACTGTTTGATAGCTAGAATTAGCTGCCTTACTAAAACACAACATAGGTTGTCTCATATCTCACTACGCTAATTAGGCTCGAAAGATAAGGCAGTTTCACAGGCCTACCACAAACACTGATAAGGACAAGAGGAACATTTGTCAAAGAAAAGCAAGCTTCTTACATGCCCTCGAATATCGCACTTGAAGTCATTTTAAAAAGCTTTCATTTTTCGTGATTCATATGAAATTCATAGTAAACTAGATGGCGCCCCCGGTCCCGCCCGGGATTTGGGCTCCTTGATCCCAAACGCACTGAAACTCACCGCCCTTCTTCATATCTGTGACGAAATGTGATGTCTTCCTTCCTGACTTGAAACACCGGATCCTTTTCGACGAAAAATGTAAATGAACTTCACCGACCAACTTACATGAATATGAAGAAATGATCCAACAATGGTTGGTGAACCCTCGATGTAAGAGTAAACAAATCAATAAATCGATTGAAGGGCCCGACAAATCATCGCAAAAAGTAGCCTATCTTCTGCGCCGTGTCTTATTTGTAGAGGACGAATTTTAGCCCCATCGGTTCACACACAAAAGAGTCTATAAGCCACATACTTACATACGAACAAATTTACAAAGATTCGGTAGATTTGAGATAACAGACGGTCAAAGTAGGGCTTTGAGTCAAAAAGCATAGCCTTTTGTCCTCTCTTGTTGAAACTTCGACATGCACAATTTCAAAAAGCATACTCTGAATCTACTTGCTCATACAGGAGACGCGGTAGCACATCATCATCCCAGCGCCTATCAACTGCAGTGTCGCTGCACCAGCATCTCCACTCCCGCGCGGCCGCTTCGCTTGGACTCTGCAACTTCGCGAACGTTCTCTCTGATCAAGAGTCCCACGCGGAAATAGAGGTATAAGCCCTGTATATTTGAAGGCACCGCCCACCCAAATTCTCGATTTCCATGTTTGTCGTTTCGGGGCCTTCTCATGTCCCTGATTTCGAATATCAGTTCGAGATAAGTGAAAACCCGACAATCCCCTTCCGCGGAACCTGCAGGGCGAGTTCTCCGGAACGGGGATTGGCTGGGGGGGGGGGGGATAGGCGGGACGAACGTCACGCCCACTCAAAGGGGAGGAGCCCACTTGGTGAATTCGTCATCCGCAGCGATTTTCGAAGCAATTTTCTCGTTTTGGAAGCAATTTTTGGCAGCGCGAGTTGGGCAAGTATACATCAAGATCTCACTCCATTTTGGGTGGACGGTTGCCTTTAACAGGGTGAAGCCTTGCATTTGCATCGCCGATCGTCGACGCACGGACTGGCCGTGGATTGCGGAGCACGCACGGCGCAGCTGGAGTGTCATGAAGGCACAGCTTATGATAGCTCTTCCTTGATAAAGGCGGCCGTTTATTGTGCGAAGCGGTTGCAACGGTGTGTTCAAGCATATCTCATCATTGGACCCAAAAGCGATCGCCTGCGCCTCGCTTACATAGGCGACCGATTTCGTCTTGGATTAGCTTCTACAGTAGCAATTTCTACTGATACAAGCGTTCGATCGCGCGAAGCATGCTACGCAATCTATCGTCAGTACGCGCGGTTAATGACTTGACCATATCAATACTTATATAATAGTTGAATAAGCACTTTTTTTATGACCGGCCTGAAATGGTAGAAAGAATCAAGGAATTTGGACGAAACTTTGCACACATGAAATTCTGTGTGGGGCGGGTGTCACTAAGCTTTTTCACCGAAAATCGCCGAGTGGCGTTATCGATTTATCGATTTTTTGCGTTTTTTGCCTAGCAATTTCGTTATGACCGGCCTAAAATGTCAGAAAACTTCATTAAATTCAAACGAAACTTTGCACACATGAACTTCGGGGTGGGGCGGTTGTCACTAAGCTTTTTCAGCGAAAATCGCCAAGTGGCGCTATCGATGTATCGGTTTTTTTTTTTGCGTTTTTTGCCTAGCAATTTCGTTATGACCGGCCTAAAATGTTAGAAAACTTCATTAAATTCAAACGAAACTTTGTACACATGAATTTCGGGGTGGGGCCGGTGTCACTAAGCTTTTTCACCATAGGGGTTATAGATTTATCGAATTTTGGGTTTCAATCTTTGTTAGCTAAGCATGGTCAATTCGAATAAATTATCTACAACTTTAACCACTAAACTTTTTAAACCTTTTTTCTTAATTTTTTGTATGCCACATTCTGGAGGCTAGCTGATATTTAACTATGCATTCACCTTTCGCAACGGGTTTCGTCGACTGCATGGCTCATCAACAAAATCAGAATGGTTCATCCGCGAGATCAAATATGACCACCAAATCAAAATACCCTATCCCGGCCTTACGGTTCATTCATACCATGCCTTCATCGTGGTCGTACCTCCTTCGACTACTGTCACTCCCGAGACCATGGCGCCGACATTGACCCCCTCCAGCAATGGACCGTCCCCTCCACACCTCAGTCGCAGATGCATATTGCCCAGAGATCCCGAGCCCGTGCCGCAGCAAGGCGCACTTCTGAAGCCATGCGTAGCCCCTTCGTCGTAGCCGAGAAACACCAGAGGAACGAGAACGGCGTCTTGCCTCAAGGCGTGAACGTCATCTTCGTCGACGGCATCAGGAACCACAGCGCAACGGACACCTTCAGGAGACACTGGATCAATCCAGGCATGGTGCGAGCCCAGAACGGGTTGGCCAACGAGGATACGAGCCAATCGACGAGAACACAGCACAAACGATCTTTACGCTTGACTCGCGGCAACAAGTGATGTTTGAACCGGCACCTACCTCCACCCCCATTCCGCAGATGCACATTGCGCAAAGAACTCGAGCACGTGGCACAATGCGGAGCTCCGTAACCGCACATAACCGTCTTCATCATGGCCAGGAAGCACCAGAGGCCCAAGAAGAGCTTGCCCCGGTGCACGTAATATACCTTCGTTGTCGCCAGCACTACCACTTTTCAAAAAGATATAGATTAGATATATAGATTAGATTTATAGATTTGATTTACCCCTTTTTTATGTTCGTTCACGATGAATAGAAAAAGAATCATAGGATTTAAGGCAGATTTGGCAGACGTAATGCATGGTGTGCGCCGTTGTTAATAAGCCATTTGTTCGATACACACGGTTTGTTGCTATCGACTTATGGATTTTTGCACTTTTTGCCTTGAAATTATCTTTGCTTGAAAACGATAGAAGGAGTTATGGAATATAGACCAAATTTGACAGGCATAACGCATGGGTGGGATGTGTTTTAATCAGCCGTTTGTTCAACTATAATGATCGACCCTTTTGATTTATTGATTTTTCGCAGTTCGCGTAATATCCATTGCTTAGTGTTAATTCGAAATAAACTGACAAAGCCGAAATTGTCCACGGTTGTTCTTTCTGAGCCGGTTATAAACGAAGTAGTTCGTGCAAAATGGCAAATTTTCTGCATTTCACTTTCAATAAAGAACAAAACGAAAGATTTACCGGAAGCGAAGCTGCCGACCAGCCGAACCTGCCGCGTAGCGGCAGAGAGCGGCTGGTATTAAACATAAGCGAACAGTCCTGCGTACACCCGTGTATTTTAAAGTTATAATTTGAGATTTAAAAAAAGTGATTAAAGGCAAACAAGAGACAGAGCCGATTTTGCTTAAGAGAGAATTTGAGCGGATTCAAGGACGTTAAATCGATAGCAGGCTCTATTTGTAACAAGTGGCATAGCTTATGATGTGTAGGGATACAAGGTTTGCACGATGTCCGCGAAAGAGTAAGTGTGTTAGCCATAGTTCTTCACGGCGTTGTTCCTTCTATGGGGTAAGCTTCTGGGATGGAGTTGACGGTGCGACTTGTGGTGGGCATTTTTTTCGAAATAGACTTTACATCTTTTAGTGATGTCTCTTCGCAGCGTCCTACCGAATTTGTCTTCAATATGGAGAGAACGCTCCAAATTTTTTTATGGACTCCGCTCTTCTTCTCGCTATCTCACGTTATCCCCTCCAGCTGCTCGTAAATCTCTTTCAGGTCTTGTCCCTTCATCGAAGCCTTGACAGCGGATTTTGTGTTCGTATATTTGCCGATCGTCTTCCAATTTCGTTCCAACACTTGTGCGCATCCCTCTTCTCCTTTATGATTCCTTGCACTTCGTCACTCCACGACCATGTTCTCGACTGATCCTTTTTCCTAGCTTTGTAGTTCCCAAAAACATTTCCACTTGATGGAACCGACCTTAAAAGCTGGCTCAGGATCGCTCTGGGTTCTCGCGCAGGCTTGGAAGAGTTGTTAGTAGTGCTTGCTTCGCCGTGCTGTTGGTCTTTGATCTCCACTATTTAATGCGTGTCCTGGTCTCTGTGGCTATCCTGATGTGCCCCTCCGTTAAGATACTGATGTCGAAAATCAGTGGTCTATGTTGAGTTATGCAGCTCTCATCGGAGACAACCTTGCAGGTCCTTTACGTTTTTGATACTCTGTCGAATAGCCCAGATGTCTATATGTGTTTGTGCTTCGCCACTCGTATATATAATGAATGGTCATTCTTCCTAATGTAGCATGTTTCGCCAAGACCAGATCATGTGCTGAAGCGAACTTCAGAATGCACTCCTTCTTCGTTGCACGTGCTGGTCATCGAGCTCCTGCCGGAACGCTTCCTTTCGCATCTTTAAACTTTCATGGTGCGTGGGCGGTGATTACTCGTAGATTTCCAGTATCTATCTTTATGCTCATTAGAGTGTTGCTTATGCGTTCGACGTCCATTACACCGCTCATTAGTCCCCGAGACAGTTACACCAACTCCGTTTCTGGTTTACAGGTAGCATCTTTGTAAAGGACTTTATATCCATACTCAAGACTTATCCCGCTCCACTTCGTTTCTTGTACGCAGGCTATATCGAATCGCCGTCTTGCTGGATGATCTCGAGAAGAAGAAATGAATGTACCCATATTGATGGCAGCCACACGGAGAGTCTGCGATGATTTGGATCTCGCCCTGATGAACTAGCCGCTTTAGCTGTCCCCGTTCACCTTGCCGAGACGATGACCCCCCATCCAGAAAGGCCTTGCTTACTTGCGGTTGTACGAAGCGCTGATCTCAAAAAACCTTAGAAAGCTTTTTGGCGAAAACGGGTATTTGTATTTTTCAAGATCGTATTGAATTTGGACGAGTGCAACAGTCCCCAACAAGGCTGGAAACAGAGTGCTGCAGGGTCCTTGTAACATGGCGCCGTGCCGCCTCCAACGGTGGAAAACTGCGAACTCGCCCGACCACGCCCAGACCTGGCTGACGCGCACGGGTTTGAGGGCAGTTTCGGCAGCGGAGGCATGCTGTCCGACCGTTACTCTGTTTACATATTAGAAGGTAAGCAATCTACCATATCAAAATTCAAAGATGTTTGAGCCACTGCCTTCGAACGAGCTCTCGAATGAGACCAGTTACTTTTTTAAATGGTCGTCTAAAACACACAACAAATAACAAGTTGGCCGCAACAAAACTTGAAGGCAGTTCTTGGAAGTTGGGCTTTTCATTCCACCACCATGCGGAAGTGTACCCTTTTGGATACGCACTGCAAGTACGGGGCCCTAATGTCTGTAATAAAAATAAGAAAATGGTTTAGGGGTAAATCCTCGTTCACCTATGGATTTCCTGCTCTGTGGCAAAGTAAACACATTCAAGATTGTAAGGCGGGTTCTGCGCGACTCTGCGTCTCAGCCTTGACAAGGAGCTATCCCACTCCCAAATCTGACCCGGATTTATGAAACGCTTGTTCTCGCCGTTTTGCATCCCCTAACGTGGATTTTCGGATTCAGTGTAACGGAAAACCCCAGCCAAGCCAATTCCCTAGAAATTGAGTTTACGCGGCTTCTGTAAGCAACCAGCCGGCTCAATTAGAAGATTTTCCGTTTAGCTAGGCATATTCTTCCACTGGATCTAACTGTGCAGCCTGCAAAGGGTGATTTCAAAAATGGAGTTTTCCTGAAGCTCCTGTATTTGTCAGGACATGATGACGCGATGCCCGCCAAGGTTAAAGGCAGCGGCTCGGCAGATTTGCAACTTCGGGGTTTTGGCAGATTTAGGGCTATTCCGGCCCCTTGAATCACGACATGAACTCCCCTTAGCGCGAAAATGGGAAAAACCCCGTCTTTTGAAACCCCCCTAGAGAAGGGCGCGGACGAGTGAGCCGTTTTTCTCTGCCGTCAGAGACGCAGGGTAAGAAGGTATAGAGCGCTAGAACAATTCTGCCCTACGAAGCTACGAGTGACGGCGCGTTTTCTAGCGGCGAACGTACTCGTCCGCACAAGGTGTTAGGGGAGCGAAAGGAGGAAGGGGAGCGGAGCTTGCCTCGCCCCCCTGGCTTGCAGTATTCACATTTTCGGCCGGGAGTTGCTCTTTTGGTTCACTTGGAGGGTCTCCTATCCATCTATTTCAAATTCTGAGGTAGGTCTATTCTGCCGAGCCGCTGCCTTTAAGACGCAGAGTCGTTGAGACCTTGCAGCTTTGACTGTGCGCGCTATGCGCGCTCTAACCTTGAGGTTCGAAATCGCTGTGCTGGCTGCGTTGGGCATACCGTAAAATCCGTGCAAATTTCGGGGCAAATCTCAAGCTTTGTAGACCTCCCTTCTGCTCCGAACTCAGAGGCAGCATCCAGGCACCTGTCTCCAGCACCCTACTTAGCGGAGCACCCTACTTAGCGGACGACTTACTTCGACTTGCAAAATTTTGCGCAGGGACCCAGCACCTGGACGGTGGGCCTGCACGCAATGGCAAGCAACTATAGTTGTAACGAACGGAAATTTTCATCGAATGCACGAATATCGAATAATTGATTTTCGGAAATTTTTAACAGACCAATAGTATTCGATTTTCGATTCTCTTATTATTCGAGTTCGAATATTCGAACATTCAAACACAAATGTCGAATCATTTTTGAATACTCGAATAACGGTTTTCAAGACTCGAATAATCGGATTTCTAACTGCTTTTCAAATTCCTCGAATATTTGAATATTCCAATAAGTTATTTTTCCGAGTCGTCGAATGAACAAATTATTCGAACGAAGACCTTTTTCACTTATTCGACTATTCGAATAATCGAATACTCGGACTTTCTCGAACATTTGACTACTCGAATATTCGAATGGTCGAACATCTCGAATAAATTATTAGAATACGAATATTCGGTCCCAACTATAAATACAAACAACCCACGCAGTCGTTTCACAAATACGGTATCGAGGTCTGGTTTGAGGGCGAAGATCTCAGCCGCGTGTGCACCATCTAAGCTGCCGCTTGGGCAGTGTCTTAGTTAGACCCCCCAACATCAATTTACAGATGCGACCCATGTGTCCAGATCTGCCTAAACGCTGCCTTTGAAGGCAGTCTGGGCAAATAGTTGATTTTGAGATTCTGTGCTTACCTGGGCCTATTCGCTGTACTGAATCCGAAAATCTACATCAGGGAGCGCGGAAATAAGGGCTCTAACATAGGAGCAAAATCAGCAGGAGGCGGGGTCTTACCTATGGTAGATTCACGCTCCCAGCTTCCGGAGCAATCTTCTCGATTCCGCTAGCCGCCTTGACATCGCCAACGGCAAAGTGCGAACGCCTGGCTTAAAATCGGAACCGGCAAGATCGTTCTGGAAGCTGGGACCGTGAATTCACCCTGGGGAAGACCCCGCTCACCTGATGATTTCCACCACCCTTAAAGCCCTTTTTCGCCGTTTTTGCGCTCTCCAGTGTGGATTTTCGGATTCAGCATAGCGAATAGGTCCAAATAAGCGCAAAATCTCAGAATCGATTTTTTGCCAGGTAAGCGTTTTGGGATTTCAGTACCATGCGATAGTGGCCCCCTCAAACGCAGCATCAAATCGCGATACGAGGTTATTACGTTCAACCTAAAGCAAGAAAAACGACTTGAAACTGGGGAAACTACGCCTTCGGGCAGGGTCCTCCGACTTGATTGAATCTCTGCCGACAGTGTACGCATGCAGCCACAGTCAAGTGGTAAGGTGCCCCAGCGACTCTGCGTCTCAGACTTGGCGGAGACCGTCGATTTGAATTGTAAGGCTTTGAAAACATGTTGTCGCATGTTGTCGCCTTCTCGCGCCTTCTAATGTGAATTTTCAGATTCAGCGTTGCGGATAACCCCCGGTAAGTGGATTTTCTAGAAGTCGGTTTTTGCCCGGACACTGCCTTTAATCGCAAGTTACGGTCACGGCGCAGGTGCGGACTATTTGGGGATTTATTTCGCAGAAGTGAATGAATGAGCGCCGTTTGGGCAGTGCTGTAGCTAGGACCCCTCGTCAGCTTCCAGGCCAAGAACTCATGTGCCCAGATTTGCCTGAACACTGCCCTTAGAGCAACAAAACGTTACGTCAGCAAAGCTGGTGTAACTTTAACGGTTTATCATATACTAGCTGGCATACCCGGCTCCGCCGTATGTTCCGAATAGAAAATTCCTTTTCTTAACCGATCCGAACCAAACTTGGCACACATACACTTCGGGCCCCGGCGGGTGTCACAGTCCACTTTTCGTTATCGATTGATGTCGATTTTATCGATTTTTTGCAAAATTTGAGCAAGGGGGCTGGGATTTGGCACAGGGGGGGGGGGTATTCGAGCATGCAGATTACGGCCTATGACACCCGCCGGGGCCCGTAGTGTATGTGTGCCAAGTTTGGTCCGGATCGGTTCAGAAATGGAATTTTCTATTCGGAACATACGTACACACAGACAGACAGACATACATACAAACAGACATTCAGCTTTATATATAAGATGCTGAGACGAGCATACCAGAACCGCAAGAGCACCGTTGTCTCGCAAATCCCACCTCGTTCTCATGATTGCAAGTGATAAATCATCCAAGATGAGATAGAACTGAAGAATTAAAGGCCTGTCAGGGCAAGTTGGGAGTTCTGGGTTTTACCGTCATATCGAGATTGACGCTCCTGACCAATCATCGCTTATTGAAAAGCCCGTCTCGTTCAGTGGTGGTTCTCCTCAGGACACAGCGCGCCTGACTCACTGTTAAAGGCGGTGTCCGGGCAAAAACTCGTTTCTAGAAAATCCACTTACCGGGAGTTATCCGCAACGCTAAATCCGAAAATCCACATTAGAAGGCGCAAAATCGGCGAGAACATGAGTTTGTCAAAGCCTTACACACTGAAATTCGACGGTCCCCGCTAGGCAGAAACGCAGAGTCGCGGGACCCTACAATTTTAAGTGTTGCGGCATGCGCACTCTGCCGCATAGCCGGAACTCGGACAGCTCGGAGGACCCCGCCCCAAGGCGTAAGTTCCCCCACTTTCTGGTTGTTTTTCTTGCTTTAGGTAGAGCGTTATGATGTCGCACTTGCGCGATGTTGTGTCTGAGGGGGGCCACTCTCGCATGGCACTGACCCCAAAACCCCCATCTTGCCCGAACACTGCCTTCAAGGTCATGTGGTCCTGCAGCGACTGTGCGCTGAGTTTTAACCCTTCCGAAACTTGCGGACGGCTGGAGGACTATATGTCGCCGAATTTGGAAGAGTCCCGCGCGGATTCCCTGCAGGAACGCATGTCCGCGCATGTACAAGGGTGCTTATTTGTCGCAAATGACCACGGGGACCGCCTTTTTTCGGCGACATATAGTCCTCTACCCCTTGCGGACTAGCATGAACCCAGCCTAACGCTTGCCCTCCTCAGCGGCGGGAAGTTCACTTAGCCAAATTCAAATTGGAGGAATTCGAGAAAGTTGTGGTTTTCGGTTCCCTTTGCGTGATTTTGGATTCAGCCTAGCGGATTACAACAAGCACCGAGATGAGTAGTCTTGTGACGCTGCCTTGAACACTCGAATCACATGTTTGCAAAAAATTCCCGAGTCCTGACAGAACATGATACAGTTGTGCAAATAAGGCAAAGTTGCGACTGCGGTGAAAGCGTGAAAAGTGCGCCGTGGCCGCGACGCCCGCACCCACCCGCTGTCAGGCATCGCGATGCGAATTGTCGCCGAACAAAGCAGCCACGAGTGCATATCAGTACTCCGACACCATCCGCGTTCCCCGCCGCCAGAAACCAACAACTTAGGAACGACTGCCGTTGATGGTTAGCTTTTAGAAGCAAGCGTATATTCTTTGTAAAGTTTTTCAGATCATTTTCCGTGCAGATAATTTACGCGTGAAGGACTGTTTTGATTTCAGTCGATATTTATGCTAATAGTGGATGGGTGAAAGGCTCGACTAGTTCTCGATATCTTGACAACTCTTTTATGGTGTTAAGTTGCGCCAAATGGATCCCTATTTATTCAAATCTTACGTATAAGTATACGTTGAGATGCTAAACATCATATCGCTGCTGCCATTAATACTTGGCTGCAAATATTTTTTTCTGAAAAATTAATCCTAAATGATTAGGTTCGTTAAATTTCGTTGCTATGTTCACATTTTTCTCCAAAGTGAAGTCACCACGGAAAACTCCTTGCTTATAAGCCGCACAATGTATTCCCTCAAAATTGCTTCATGTGTATCGCCATTATTTGGTTAAAAGTTCTATTCCATAGGCAGCGTGTTTGTTTTTCTTTTTTTCGTGAATCGATTGCTTCTCTGATGTGGCAACTGTTTTCCATTGATTGGGCAACACAAGGAAATTGAAAACTGAACCGTTGTATTGCGATGCGGGTCAGTATCGTTCGCAAATATTTCCACTTATGGTATTTTCTTCCATCAAAATAACGGCCTACTTTAGGGAAAAACACTGGCTGTTTAGGAATTTTTCTTCCATCAATTTTCAGTTCACCTTCTTAATCAAAATATACGGTTATCGCTTACTTTTCCATTTAGATCGTTGAAAATGTGATGCGTCACGTGGAGAACGCGCTAACGAAAGAGAAGGAGAAGCAGACTGCATCAGATACTCCACCACAGCAGTCTGAAACTTCGGAGAAGTCTGAAAACGACAAAGATAAAGAGCGCAAAGAGAAGGAACGGAAAGATCGTTCACCGCGTAGATCCAGCAAAAGGCGAAAGGCAACACGATCAAGCCCAGCCTACAGCGATAGCGATTCTTCGCGTAGCAGCAGAAGTCGGAGGTAAGTCACTAATCAGTCTTCCTTGCTTTACTAAAAAAAAAATCCACCTTTCAGTCGGTCACCGCGGCGATCGCATCGAAGGCACCGAAGGAGTCCACCGAAAAAGCGCGCAAGAAGTTCCAGCTCGTCGAGTCGTGGTACTTATGACGATTTTGAGTGAGTGACGATATCCTTGCTCTTTAATCGATCTTATGTTGAAGTCGACAATTTAGCTTTGTTCTTCCTGAAGATGAGTGTCCATTTGCTTGTAAAAAATGCCATCGTGGTTTCTACACCATAAAAGAATTAGCTGAGCACGAGATTCGTGCACACGATATGAAGATTCCCTGTCCTCACTGTGATAAGGTCAGTTTGATTTGATTGCAGGTCATCTTTTGAACACAGAAAGAATGATTCTAGGTTGAAGTCAAATTTTTTAACCTTATATCCGTTATTCTGATTTGAAATACCATGACTTTGTTGATATACTCTATATAACATTGAAAACTTGAGGCGTTACTTCGTATCCACCTAGAAATTATCATTCCCATTGAGTGGGTAGCGTATACCTTCCATATCTCGGTATTGGCGTATATGCTCAACTTGCGTTTTGCTGACAGCATGGAACTGTTCGTTTTTCTAGAATGCTGTTTCTATAACTAAACTAGCTGCTCACATGCTTTTCCGCCACCCAGCTATGGAAGTATTGTGCCACTATTGTGATCAGAAGTTTGGAAATCCCGCTGAGAAACTTGATAAAACAGCTTGGGACGATTTTCGCGGACATGTTTACAAGGTAAGTACCTTTACGGGTTGAGGAACGAACACCTAAATTAAGGCCGCCTCCGCGGGCTGCTGGTCCTTTCATCCTGCTGTTGTGCATCGTGTTGGGACCACTAGTCCGCGGAGGGGCTGCCTGGCTGGGGTGTGTGACTCCACCTTAACTTTACTGGCAGTTTTTAATCATCATAGCATCTTTGGTGGCTGATTATGATGCTTATGCTTACTCTTAAAGGAGATACTGAAGAAAAAGATGTATGAACATTCCTCTAAGGCGAGTGGAGCGGCGAGCGATGCAGTTGCTCTGCGAGGCGTCGGCAGATGCCCGCACGGTGCAGCCGTGAAATGCAAGTATGTAGTGAATTCAATTTCCTCTTTGTAGTTCGGTAGGGGTAAGTGGTAACCGAGATCACTCCAATTTTAATATGTTCACCTTGTATGCTTCTATTCACCTTGTAATCACACAGAAACTTCCCAAACTGTCCTGGCGCCAAGTGCATCTACTCTCATGGACAATGCCGCTACGACATCACTTGCAATAAATCGTCGTGTCCCTTTGACCATTCAAATCGACCACGTGTCTGCATGGCGTGCATAAACGATATGAAGGTATCTTCTTCTCTTATTATTCCATTTCTTTATCAAGTTAGCTTTTGAACTAGCTTCATATAGGTACCAGATCTTTCACTCGGTAACTCGTTTTGCTTTTTATGCGCGAAAATGCATCATGTTCGGAATGTCCTGGTTGTGTGAATTAATTTCTTTCCGTCGTGTCAGTTTTCATGCTTTGAGTGGTAGGGCATGAGTGCGTATTTTGCGAAGTAAGATCTAAATACGTTATGAACCGTGACCCTCTTGAGTTCGTCTTTATTCGCCAGTAGGTGCATCTTTGAAGGCAGTGGCCAAAAAGTTGGGTAGTAGTGTTGAACGCATACTACGAAAATTGAGGCCCTGGTCGCTTCATCTCAAGTGACAAGGCATAAAGTAAAGCCGGGAATCGCTTTGAAATCTGGGATGCTGCTTTAAGAGCGAAACTTCCTCTCAGATGCATTCCTTTCCTTTGAGTGCATGCTGCCATTTATGAATAAGCACCTGCAGCGATCTATACCTCGCAGCGCGGCTGATTCTGGATCTCTTGCGCATGCTTAAATGCAGGGCTGTAGAGGAGCACATTATTAGTATTTCATGTTTCTTAAGTTTGATATTCGCCATTAGCGTAATGGGTAAGCTTATTCAAGCAAAGTATCTTAGAACCGAACTATTTCAATCGAAGTAAGAGATGATGACAATTGACTGCAAGAGCTTTACACAGGGGCTAACTTTCAGAACAATCTGCATATTCATGTATAATAGTCCAAATCATACATCCAGAAATCTATATATCTCCCCATGATCTCTCTTTTCTTAGAAAGCTTGTGTTTTCTTATTCCAGGGCGATCGCAACCGTCGGCGATACTAATTGGAGTGACGCAGATATATCTATCGTTTGCAACAAAGCAGTCCTACCGTACGTATATATGTGATCTCTATGAATTATGATAAGTAGTGCTTTTGCATTACATGAGATATTGTGTGGTGAGATAGTCCAATCAGATAGGCTGATTCAAATGATTTCTTTCTGACTTCTAGTATTCTGATGCCAATGACTATTTCTTTCGTAAGCAGAGGGGCAGCGATGATTCGGACATTTCCCTCTGTTCATCCTATATTTCTACGGTTGTATCTTTATTCGCTTTTTAGCTATAGCTATAGCTTTTATTATACAGATTATTTTAGTGCTGTTCTAACCTATCTGTGGAGTAAATCTGATTTGAAACCTCACGCAAAGTTGTGACTTGATGTGTAGGATTCCTGATAACACTTCTGCACTTGGTTTTGACATGGATTACCAATGTTTTTTGTTCGTTGCTTTCTTAGCTGGGTTCTGATAACCATAGTGTATGCTCATAAAGCATGAATCTGACTCTTTCGACTTGAATAAGGTTTGGTAGTGGAAGCCTTGGTCGACTTTCTGTAACATGGCAAAATGAAAATGACCAAACAAATCAAGCTTCCTCGTTCAGCGACAGTGTTGTTTTTTACCAGTGCCATCAGTGTGATCGACACGTCACAAACACTTGTTCACTGCAACGCCTCTAATTTTGTGGGACTGTAGTAGTGCTGCCGATCATAGCAATTTACTGGTATGTGGTCGCGGTCATACCAAGCTCTTTCGCTGTAGAGGAGTTGCTCAAATGACTAAATGCGGCGCGCTAGCGTCCATTGTCATCATCAAATTATATACACAATCTTCATCTTGACTGACCCTGTGTTCAGTCTGTTCGCAAAGGAGGGGTGCGCGGTAAATCTGCTGCGCAGACACTCCTATCTGGCGTGACAATGTTATTGGGCAATATTTTTCTTGTTAAAAAGTACTCATTGTATCATCCAAAAGAATTCTTTCGGCTCTCCTTTTTGATATACGCGCTTGAGCCCAACATACTCCGAACCTCCCAAAACATATGAGTGCATTTTTATGCAGATAATATAAAGATATTAGTTGGCTTCACAGTCCAGCCCGGGCCATTGTTCATAGGGACGAAGTAGATGCCACGGTCGCCACCAACATTACCACATTGTGGAACTTTCCCCCTCCTTTTCTGTTATGGATGACTTACCTTGCGGCATCCACTTCGACTCATCGCATCCTCTTGATCCTGGGGTGGAAATGATCTTCACCGCCCTCCTTTACACGACTACAAGAAAATGCTTGCTTGGTTAACATGATAAGCTTTCTTCTCCTCAGAAGAACGTAAACAAATCAATAAATCGATAGAAGTGCCTAACAAATCACCGCAAAAAGTAGCCTATCATCTGCGCAGGGATCGAAAATATATGTGTGCAAAGTTTCAGCTGAAGCAATTCCGCGGCGCGCGTACAGTCGCTTCATTTCATATGATCATGTGCGTTATTGCACACACAATTCACCTTTGGCGTCCCCATCCTGGATTCGTGGGAGAAACAAGCCTTCGGGTAAGTGTTTCCAAGGTGTTCTTAGCCTTTTTTTCCTTTTTAGTCACTAGTCACCTCAAACTGGGGTAATCGATAACAATCGGTAAGTCTCTTGCGTTTTTCGATTGCAAATCCAGGATGAGGACGCCAAAGTGGACTGCGTGTGCAATGGCACACATGATCATATGAAATGAAGCGACTGTATACAACCTTGTGCTCCCTTTTCCACCAGCCAAATCGCAAAGCGGAGCCTCGCGCGTGTAGCTTGCGCATTCAAGACACCTCATCGATCGAGGTCGCCGCGCTAGACTTCCGTGGAGAGGCGTGACTGCTAGGGAAAGGGAACACCTGGTTGACATCGGCTGTATCTTAATGCACATAGCCTCCACCTTGACAATTTTTGGTTTTATTATAGGGGCCTGCAGGATCGCGAGAGTCGGACGCGCGTACGGCCATTGCGCCGCGCACGTCTACTCTCACTAACAAGGGAAGTTCGTTGGGTCGAAGTGGCGATTTGGAAGATGATGTATACCAATGAGAAGAACGTAAAACGCTGTTTCCAAATATACCTTCAGTATCAGCGACGCGTTTAAATAGATGGAGTTATGGGCTTTTTGGTTTATATAATGGAAGTGTGATCAAGAAAGGAAATGACGACCTGCGGATAAACAACACGCTCGGAAAACACTCGAAAACGTTCGGATGAACTCAATTTAAACCTACAATGATTATTAGGTGGTTTGCTTAAAGGCAGTACATCGGCAGAATGAGACCCATGACAAAACAAGGTCACAGGGTAGGAGCCCCCATATGGAAGCTATCGGCCAAAGTCCGATCTTTCTCTGCCACTTCTAACCCCTGAAATTCCAGAGCGAAAGCAGCGCTCATCTCCTGTCCTCTCCGAACCCGCCCACCCCATGGACGAGTGAACGCGAAGCCCGTCACTCAGACACTCGCGGTTGACTCGCGCAGGGCAAAACGATGTGTAGCCATTGAATGCGTGGGCGACTCGCGAAATCGGTGTCGCGGCAAAATCAGGACACCTGATTTTGTGTCGCGGCAAAAGTGCGCGGCAAAATCGGGGCAAAATGGGGAGACCTGCGCGAGACACCAAAATGTCGCGATCGCGTTCAGAGCACGCGGCCTACGCCCTTACTGACAGCTTTTTGGGTCCTCTAAGCCCTCTCTTACGCCTTCCTTTTGACTTACCTTGAGTCCTTGGTCACGTTGGGTCCCGTTTCCCACGCTTGTTTTTTTTCTGCTGATAAACCCAGTCCTACGTCATAAAATTTATTAGCAAATACCACATGATCTTCTCGAGTAGCGTTTACAATGACATGGAAATGATATGCACAGTCAGCAGCAATTACAGGATTGAAAACACCACAAAAACGACACATTACGAAAAAACTACGACTAAGAATGAGAACAACATCAGTCTTCGACTACTTCAACTTCGTCTTCGACGGTTTCAGTCTTCTGGATCACTTCGTCTTCTTTAGTAACAGTGCTGCCTTCGACCATGACACGCTTTTTCTGAAAATGAAAAATTATTGTTACCAGGATCGTATAAAACAAATGAATCACCTTTGATGGAAGGAGCATGGCCCTATCAGGGTCAAAATGATACCTTCGAAGGTCTTCCCTGCAAAATTATAGTTCAGAAGTATCGCTTTCTGTATGAGAAAACTCACAAAGCTCTCCCTATTGCTATCCTCGTTTTACCGCTCCAGATTACTCTTTTCTCTGAGAGGACGTGGAATAATCTTTCGCGAGCGTCGTCATTTTCGGCCAAGTCCAACCACCACCTAAATTCTAGTGGACATGAAGGTCTTTCGAGAACATACATACTTATTTGGATTCCGTTTGTGCTCATCTGGCGTCCTCAAAAGCTGGTCGCGGTGTAGGCCAAGAGCGTCAAGGATGGAACCTAAATCAGTTATTGAAAGTAATGTACTCAAATACACATTGACCCACTTATTAAGAAATCGGCTAATCCTTCCGGGAGGTCCTTAAGATGGTCAAATTTTCCCTTCTTTCCGCTCTGTCTACAGGCGTACTGTTGAATTTTCGTAGGTGGTTCGCACGCCTTGCTACCTGTCGAGTACCGGTAATAATTTCTTCGTCTTGCTTCAACAAAAATCGCTCGAAAGTTGATGTTGCGTGGAGAGCGTTCAGCGGGAAATCTTCAGCGTCCAGTGTCTCCAGATCATGGGCAAGAGTAAGCAGGAAGTCAACTAGTAGTGTGCATATCTGAAAGACTGAGACTGTGCAGAAATTCTAGAATTTCGATCTTCCGTTACGACAAGGCTCACCTCCTTAGATATCTTCAACAAACACACAGGAATGAAATCGAACTCTAAGAAGGCTATGACGTCTCGCCATACGTTCAGCTTCTCTTCAAAAAAATCGAAATAACCGAAATAACAAGTCCATGTGAGTACCCACTAAGTACAACTGCTCGCAAGATCTCGAAAAAGTTCTCCAAATTTCCTTCGGCTAGCTCTTCGTTATTCACACCATTGAAACACGTAGCAAGGTGGTTGAAGTGTCGATTCCACAAAATCCTGCCTGGCTTCCTAAACAGCTCAAAAGTCGAGCTGAAAAAGGAAAAGCAAAAGATAGTGTGAGAGGTCATAGCGGAACTGGTAGGAATAACGAAGGGTCAAACAACGAAACCGTGGCAAGAAAATCTCCCGATAATCAGATAAAAAGTTGGAAGCACATGGTAAGATAACATTTGATTGACTTTTCACACACAAGTAATCTCAAAAATATCGAGTTAGAAAGTGTTGGGATCCACTGTTTCAAGCAAAAAGATTGAAAAACAATGGAAAGCAAAGTGCTGAAGCACCCTCCCCCCCGCAATAACAATTGAAAGAGTAATTCAAATCGAAAGGAAGAGAAGCAAGAAAAGCTAGGAAGAATTGACCTATACGTGCGTTATTTCGAAATCTTCGCCCGTCGCGACAAAATCGCACTAAAATCGGGGCGAAACTAAAACGATGACTCGCGCCGGTCCACCGGATTTTGCTGCGAACGCCCATTTTGTGGGCGGATCCCCTGCGCGAGTCAACCGCGAGTGTCTGAGCATGGCGAAGACGCAGAGTCGTTGCGGGACCTCATGCTTATAGCATTGCGGCTGGCGCTCTGACCGCGGAAATCATTCGTCCATGGGGTGGGCGGGTTCGGAGAGGACAGGAGATGAGCGCTGCTTTCGCTTTGAAATTTCGGGGGGTTAGAAGTGGCAGAGAAAGATCGGACTTTGCCCGATAGGTTCCATATGGGGGCTCCTACCCTGTGACCTTGTTTTGTCACGGGTCTCATTCTGTCGATGTACTGCCTTTAACACGTTGACGACCGCGCCATTTTGGGCGAAACTCCCACTAACGTCCTTCGCGCATTTAGCCCGTGCATACGCGCGGATGCACGAAAACATTATGTGGGAGTCCTTTTGACGCTTAATCATAAAACATGTGAACTTTGTTCAGAGATACATGTATATCACAGAGCCTTACCAGAACTTACACAAATCAAGGTTTTTGCGTGGATTTTCCCTCCCAATAACCGCGCAATCGCTATATTGGAGGAATTTCTTTTCAAATAAAAACGCTGTAATACCAGGTATTTTTTGCTTGATTCATCCTTTTTTGCTTTCAAAACAGCTTTACAGAGTTTTAACCTTCTCGGAAAAACGTAATTAGCATGTGTTTACCTTACCAAGAACCGACTGATTACCCAATTTTGCGGCCCAAACTTGCTGCCGCGATGCCCTGTGTTCGAAAGACTATCAGGCCACCAGTAGTATTGCTGCATAGAAGTTACCTTAAAACTTTTCGTTTACACCTAAAAAACTAGCGTGCCTATGCGTGGATGCACGAAAATGCTAAACGAGAGTTAGGGCGCGCATACGCGCGGATGCATACGGTCGTCAACGTGTTAAGCTTGCACACTTTTGTGTAGAATTTATCATGATTTCGCGACTCAAAATGCACGAAAATTTGGCATTAGAAAAGCTTGTAACTTTTTTCAGAACAACGCGTCGCAGATATAGAAGGTAGGTATAGGTGCCGTAAAACCTAATTGCCCGCTCCATGCCTTGAACACCAGCGTAAGCGAGCGGTCGTCGCGAGCGACTGCCGGCGTTCACTATATTCCAAAAAATCTTTATTTAACTTTCATGTTGTTATCGTCAATGCAATGTATATCTCGACGAAAGCCCCCCTCAAAACTTTGAGAAAATATGTGTGGAAAGGACGCGCGCTCATTGTCGCTCGAAAAAAGCCTGTAGCGCTTCGGGACCAAACGTTTCCAGCCGCGCGTTGGTGTTTAGGCTGCGTTCATACTGATTCCCATGTTCTGGAACTGTTCCCGCGCCGCCCCGCACAGTTTTGAACGGCGGGAGTTGGAGAATTTTGACCGTTCTCAACGGTTTTTCTTCCAGATTTCGCTCATTTTGGCCTTAATCCTCCACCCCGCTTCCCTTTTTCATCAGCAGCACTGCGAACTCGAAGCGGGGTTGAAGAATGACGCTTTTCTGCGCCGTATACTCGGAAAGATAGGCTATCGTGCGATTGTTCATTCTGTCTTCTTGTTTTTTGCTCAAAACTACTTCATTTGTTCCAGGAAGCGGCTGCCCAGTTTCCATAGCCATCTGCCACGAATTAGGGAGTAGGAGAAGTCCTGAAATTGCATGAGTTGGGATTTGTCTCTTGTTTTTCATGATTTTGGGCGTTCTTAGCCTTGTTCGTTTTTCATGTCATTGCTTCTCCGTTCTTTCTTCTACCCCGCTTCTCCTAGCGATAAGAAAAGCTGGGAATTTGAAGCGGGTTGAAGATTGAACGCTGTTCTGCTCCATGTATCCGGGAATATGGGCCTTCGTGCGCTCGTCCATTCTCTCATCGCTATTTTTGTCCAGACCTATTCATGTGCACTAACAAGTCGCTGCGTAGTCTCGCATCTGTATTGAAATTGAAATAGACAAGTCTCTAGAACACATGGAAAAACGAACAAGGCTAAGAACGCCCAAAATCATGAAAAACAAGAGACAAGTCCCAACTCATGCAATTTCAGGATTTCTCCTACTCCCTAATGCGTGGCAGATGGCTATGGAAACTGGGCAGCCGCTTCCTGGAAAAAATGAAGTAGTTTTGAGCAAAAAAGAAGAAGATAGAATGAACAATCGCACGATAGCCCATCCTTCCGAATACACGGCGCAGAAAAGCGCTCATTCTTCAACCCCGCTTCGAGTTCGCAGTGCTGCTGATGAAAAAGGGAAGCGGGATGGAGGATTAAGGCCAAAATGAGCGAAATCTGGCCGTTGAGAACGGTCAAAATTCTCCAACTCCCGCCGTTCAAAACGGTGCGGGGCGGCTGCAGCGCATGCAGCACAGTTCTGGAACTGTTCCCGCACAGTCCCCGCACAGTTTCAGCATAGTGCGAGAACTGTGCGGGAACAGTTCCAGAACATGGGAATCAGTATGAACGCAGCCTTAAAGCGACGCGTGGGCAATTGGGTCTTACGGGGCCTGTATATCTAGGATCAGCGTCTTAAGCTCTATCCATTGGTATAGCTTCGGGAAGGCGGGGCTTCGTGACCTAATTAACTAGGCAATCATCAGAGAGCACTCGCGCGAGAGAGACGCAGGTGCATCGTGGGCGCGAGCGGCCTCAAAGGCAGGTCCAGGCAAAAACCCGGTTTCTAGAAAATTCACTTACCGGGGGTTATCCGCAACGTTGAATCCGAAACTCCACATTAGGAGGTGCGAAAACGGCAAGAACATACGTTTTTAAAAGCCGAACAATGAAATTCGACGGTCCCCAGCAATGCAGAGACGCAGAGTCGTTGCGGAACCCTACGATTTTAGGTGTTGCATGCGTATTCTGCGCCATAGCAGAAATTCGGACAGCTCGGAGGACCCCGCCCCAAGGCGTAAGTTTCCCACTTTCCGGTCGTTTTTCTTGATTCAGGTCGAACGTTACAACCTCGTACTTGCGCCATGCTGTGTCTGATGGGGCCCTCTCGCATGGCACTCTGATCTCAAAGCCCCCATCTTGCCCGGACACCGTCTTTGATTAGGTCACAAAGCCTCGCCTTCTTAAATGCAGTGTCCGGGCAAAAAAGTCGATTTTGAGATTTTATGCTTACCCGGGCTTATTCGCCATGCTGAATCGAAAAATCTACACTGGAAAGCGCGAAAACGGCGAAAAAGGGCTCTAACACAGGAGTGAAATTAAAAGTGGGCGGGGTCCTCCCCACAGTGAATTCACGGTCCCAGCTTCCGGAGCGATCTTTTTGATTCCGCTAGCCGCCCTAACATCTCCACAGACCAAATGCGAACGCATGATCTGAAATCGGAAGCGAGAAGATCGCTCCGGAAACTGGGACCGTGAATTCACAGTGGGGAAAACCCCGCCCACTTACTGATTTCCCTCCAGTTTTAGAGCTCTTTTTCATCGTTTTTGCGCTCTCCAATGTGGATTTCCGGATTCAGCATAGCGAATAGGCCCGGGTAAGCATAAAATCTCAAAATCGGGTTTTTGCCCGGACACTGAAGAAGATGACCCACACAAGGCTATCAGGCTTAAAGCATTCCTATAGAATCTAGGAGGTTTAGGTATCGATTCATACAAACACTGTTCGCTAAAAATGTTTTTTTAATATAATTAATGGGGTGTGGCACACCCCCTTTGTTGTGGCAGCCACAGCTTTTGAGGGGGTGTGCCACACTCCATTAACTATGTCATAAAAACATTTTTAGCAAACCATTATATATGGATCGATAGCCTAGATCTCCTAGTTTTTTTTTCACGCGAGTGATTTGAGTCTGATTCGTTTTCTTTGCTCTGAGTAATATATGGTGAGAGCACAGCCATTGAAAGCGAAAAATGGGAAAAATGAGATTTTGGTTGGCTTCTAATTCCACAGTTTGGAGGTCTTCTGAAGCGGGATTTCTGAGATGGACAAAGAAGGAGTAGTGTTTTGTCTTGAGTGCAAAACGGATAGCTAATTCACCTTTGAAACAAAGTTAACCATGTTGGAATATGACCATTTCACTTAGGTAGTCTAGTATCTTGAGTCTTCAGAATTCGCTCAAACTTTGTCTACAGGGATTAATTGACATGCTCATTATGGATATGTTGCCCATTATGTTTGACAGGGCCTTCAGGTAATGCTATCTTAGGTATGTAATTCAGGGGGGGGGTCGTAACCAGCGATCGTGTGCCACACCCCTTGCTTGGCCCTGGTCATCACCCACTGCAAGGCCGCGGTGAACAGCTTCAGCGAAATAGTGTCGCCTTGGCGAACCCGCACCCCCCCCCCCCTTGCCGCGAACCCCCTGTTGTACAGTCCTTGTAGCAATCGGTTAGTGTCCTCACGTAAGCTGGGTCCACTCCTTGATCGACTAGCGCTGAAAAAATGGCATTCGTTTTGACGCTGTCAAAGGCTTTCTCGTAGTCAACCAAGATTAGGACGAGAGGCAGGCGGTATTCCCGGCAGACTTCTATGACCCTCGAAACCGTCTGGATGTGGTCCACGCAAGTGAATCCCTTGCGGAATCCAGCTTGTTCTTGGGGTTGAGCTTCATGCAGCGTCCTAAATATGCGAGCAAGGATAATCTTCGTGATAAGTTTGTAGAGCACACTCACGGGCATATTGGGCGGTAGCCCCGAAGATCCTCCCGTTCGCCCTTTTTGAAGAGAAGAACGGTTCTTGATGTTCTCCACTGGTTGGGAAGTTCTCCTTCTGAAGGTAAATGCGACGCTAGAACCTCGTGTAGATGGTGTCCTCCGGCTCGCAGAAGTTCGACGGAAAGATGATCTGGTTCTGGAGCCGTGGATGTCTTCATGGTTTGTATCGCGGTACGCACTTCAGCAGGTAGAATCCTTGGTGGTACTTCTCCAGGGAACAACGGGCATCGGCACGGAGTTGATGAGCGAAAGAGGTTGGTGTAGAAGTTCTTTGCGATATATTCCATCTTGTATCGAGAAGAAGTCGGAGTCCCGTCTTCGTTCAGTAGTGCAGCCAGCGGTACGTGATATTCGCAGAGGTCCCTTCGGCACTTCTCGAGACTTCGCCTTCCTTCGGCTGCTTCCAATATCTTGGCTTGCCTGTACTTATGAGATCCTCCTGCAAAGATGTTCTGCAACTGGCGTTGGCTATTAGTCGCTCGAGATGGATTGCATTCAGATCTTGCCTCAGGAATCTTCTTCATTCGAGCAATTCCTTGGTGGTCTTCGAAATGCGTTCCAAGTTCTTCTCAGAAGTCACTGAGGCGCACTCTCCGCAGGCTCGCAATCCTTTCAAAAAGCCGGTCATAGTCGTACGTTGGGTCCACCTCGATGGGCCAGTCACAACTTGATATGAGCTTTTCTAACCTGTTACCGTCATAAGCGACTTCCTTCCTTCTTGCGGCGCTGTGGCAGACTTTCTTTTCAGCTTTCGACTGAATAACATCCTCGCTCGAAGGAGACGGTGATCGGAGCCATTGCAGGAAGATGGAACTACTGAGACATCAAGCAAGCTCCACCTTCGGTTGGTGAGAATGTGGTCGATCTCCGCGTGAGTCGTTTCGTTGGGCGATTTCCAAGTCCACCGGCGATGTTCTTTCTTCATGAAGATGGAATTTCCATGGAAAAATAAGAGCAGCAGAAAGAAGCCTAATAAGACGGTTGCCGTTTTCATTTCGGAGCCCATAAAACTTCCCGATCTTATATTCCCCTTCTAGTGGCATCCCGATCTTCGCGTTGAAGTCGCCCACAACAGCTTGTAGAAGGACTCTTGTTGCGGACGACCTGCTCCACGTCTTCGTAGAAAGCATTTGGTTCTGAATTGTCAGCTGCTGATGTTGGTGAGTAGCAGTTGATGATGCTGATGCTCTTCTAACGTGGAGGTCTTAGTCGGAGGATGGCTAGTCGAGGTGACAGGATCTCATGCGAATCGACAAAATGAACGATAGATGGATGGACGACAAAACCAACGCTTCCAACGTTTCGTGATGGAAGCTTCTCAACACGAATGATGAGAGTCCCATCACTCATCTGTCGCACGTCCTTCTTCCTGGATTTCGTTTCCTGCAGAGCGATGATGTGGTACTTGGTGTGCTCTGCAGCGTCGAGAAGAGCGTAGAGGTCGGCGTTTGTGGAGACTGTCCTGGCATTGTGGGTGCAGAGCATGACACAGTCTCCATGGCGTGTCGTCCGGGCAGGCGTGTCGTTTTTGTCCAATCCTAAAGGCGCCCTGAGTACCTTGACATCGTTCTTACTACCACCCAGCGCCGTAGGCGGGATCCGATGTGCAAGGTTCATTTCTCTTCTCTTTGCTGAACGAGTAATGAAAATTTTTCCACAAGAGCAGACTTACTAGACCAACTCTTGATTTCCACGGGGTGATCGCTGACCCAGGTGTGGAGCGGGGAGGGACCGCCTAGCGACTAGAGAAAGTCAGACGGCGGGGGATCTGGCCTGACCGGCTCTTAGCTAGGCATCCGGCCGAAACCGGAAACGTCGAACTCCTTCACAGGGGAGGCCCTGCCAGAGTATACACTCGGCTGTGCATCGCAGTTCGTAACTCAATATCACCCTCATGCCACGATGAGGCGGCCGACGATTGTGGGGGTACATTCACTATGTTTCTGATAATTGGTTTATTCCATTGCTAATATGTTTTATACAAGTGACTCATCGGCATTATATTAGGGTGTCCCATAATTTTTTACTGTTTTTACTACAACCGTCGTCTTTTTGTATGCATCTTCCAATTGATGTGACTTGAATAATTTTTGACAGGTTAGAGCAAGCTCTACAAGATGGCTAACAAGAGTCTGCCCAAATAGTAATCCCCGTGAGGTTTTGAACTGAAATCTGATAGCAGTAAAACGAATATTACCGTCAAAAATCGTATTCCAAAAATTCCCTATTTATCCTAGCATATGCTTGACACTCGAACATTTAGCTGTACACTTCCATTTTTTCTATGGTTTGAAGTAAAAAAAAAGTGAATGAACTAAAATGGCAAACTCCCCCCTAGACGTCCTGAGCATCTTCCACGCACGTGATCATATCTCATACATACAGAAGTACGATTATGTATTTGTTCCCTTTGTAAATGCTCCAGTTCTCGAGAAATGCTGATGTTTACGGTACAAACGGTAGAAAGTTATGGGACACAGTTAATAAGATAAAATTAATATGAGATTATGCTAATGTTATGAGAAAATCAATATGAATTCGAAGAGAAACAGCTAATCACATATGAGAGACGGAAAATGAAAAATGATTGAAAAGTAACATGTATAGAGAATAAATTGCTGTTGCGACGTACTTTTGCGATGAAGGCAAGGACTACCACCGATCACATTACTATGGTATTATTCAAGGGATTCAATAATTTTGACTGTGTGAACTATGGGAGCAGGTACCATTTGATTCAACTGGCATGGCATCGGCAAAGGCGGGGCTTCGTGACCTAATTAAGGCTAGGTCATGATCAGAGAGCACTCGCGCGAGAGAGACGCAGGTGCGTCGCGGGCGCGAGCGGCCTCAGTTAGATCACAAAACCCCGCCCTAATGGTGCCAAGCCAGTTGAATCAAATGTTATGCTCTTTGCCCTACTGAATACATGGAGAAAGAAGAAGTCTTTGACAGTGACAAGTGCGACATAAAAATCGGCAAATGAGTAAGAGCCGCACCAGAATACCGAACTGCTACCTAGCTCAACCTATTGCAGCTTTGTTGCAGCGAGTGCAGGCGCAACAGCAAACTTTGCAGATTCTATAGAATCGTATCAATGTAAATAAGGAATCACGCAGATCTCTGTGTACATTACATAATAGGTGCACGTGTAAACGGCTGAGAAAAAGCTCCATGAACTCCATCACATTCATCGAGAAGGGAAGAGCCATAGCCATCCAGAAGGGAAGAAGAGCCGCAGCTATATAGTAGAGAAGAGCAACCGCAGCCACTGAGAAAGCAACCTATTCGGCGTTTTGGATACTGAAAGCTCTAACATATCCAGCAGCAGATCGGAGTCGGAAAAAAAGACCCGATTTTACGCTATGCAATACCTTAGTATGAAAAAACAACTCTCATGTAAAGCATTTACTCAAGCATAAATTGCTTAGGCAGCCCGTTGCGCTACAAATTCCAACACCTTCGCACGAACTCCAATTACGAAGTTTACCAGTGTACGGGATGCAAAAAGCATGGCAACAAAGACGATGACAGCTGTAGGGATTACTTTGAGGATCAAGATGTACATTGACAATAGTGTCAGGTGACCAGCTGATTGTGAGTTCCTTCGAGATCCGTCCACCTTATCGCACGACTTATACCCAGGAAGATAGCACAGTCTAAATTTAAAACCTAATTTTTGAAGAGGATACGGAAGTGAAGTGATTTATAGAACTTCGAACTTACACATAGGGGGAAACAAAGTCGTCCAGTGTTGTGATGGGTACAGTAAAATTAACACCTCATATCATGCCTTTGCCAGATTTTGTGAGATCGATAGGCAAGGACAAGAGCGCAAGTCACAGATCTGCGGAAAAATAAGAAAATACTGGTCAACTAAATGTACAGTGTGTGATGGCAGGGCAACGACTTGCGTTAAGTCGATCTTTATTTCAAGAATCAAACTTTATTTGCGTTAAGGTCATTGTTTGCGAGGAACAAAAGATATTCGTTACAAATCAATCATTTTTGTGCAGATAATTTTGAAAGTGAATCCTGTTCAACGTGCAATTTTACTCGTATGGTGGAAGTCCGTACATCTCTGGACGGAACTCTTCAAGGCTGTGCAACACTTGGGCTACTCTGTAAAGGATAGTACATACATAAAAAGCGACTTCAGCTGATCAGCAATGCTACCCAATGCTTATAGCTTCCTGCCGCGATTGTTCTGTTGGTACTATTATGCACTTCATCCCTGCTGCTTTGGCTGATCGACCGCCGTTAGGGGAGTCTTCGAAAACTAATACCTTTGACGGATCGCTAGGCTTCACGGAAAACCTGGAGTGTATGTTATTTAATGATTCTGCGGATCAATCAAAGGCACAACCCACCTATTCATCGTCACTATAAACGGATCAGGATTAGGCTTTCCCCTGATTTGTGGTTCGTCACCACAAAACACCTATTTAGTGTGGCTGTAAATCCATTCTCGATAAAACAACAAAGATGAGGAAACCTTCAACGGTATTAGATCCAGCCATTCTTTATGTGGCTCTCGTCGCGGTCCAAATGTTTTACTCCGAGATCCTGTGCATATCGCCATTGGTACACCTCCAAAGCAAGTTAGTTACGCGCGAAAAAAACAGGTAATTTGTTTAGAGTATGTAAATGACTTTTTTATTTGAGCAACTGATTTATTTCCAAACTTGTTGAGGCCGCATCTCTGTTCTTGACATCTCGGGGTCATAGCCCCAAAAATTTGGAAAACATCCCAAGCATTTTGTCCAGAGGACGTGGCTAACGCTAAGTCATACAATGAACCTTTTTTATTATGCATTTGCAACTAACTATTTGTCGAATCTTGTGATAGGGTTGGTAGCAGTCGCTGCAGTATGAAACAACCCTATCACAAGATTCGACAAATAATTAGTTGCAGCGCTGCAGTCATATGGGGGCGGGCAAAATATATCGATCGATTGGTTGCTGTTGCTGCAGCGATTGCAGTATGAAACAACTCTTAGCAGACGCCTGAAGTATGAATAAAGCATGTATGCAGTATGATAGTTTGCGAAAATATTAGGCTGCTGCATAAGTTCTGTCCGATTTTTTTTGCCTTAGGTTTGAAGCAGCTGTTCCAAGAGAATTTCATCTCTAATGCGGTGTTGTTGGTATCATTAGAAAGTGCTTTTCTTGCTCTTTTTAACGCATATCAAAATTTAATAAATTTCTCAGTGTAAGGAGATTTCAGGCCCCAAATCTCCAAGTGCCCAAAGTACGTTCTCACCCTAGAAAAATGTTCTTGCGAGGAGTTCTCTACAATGCGTCTTTCAAGTCAAGTTCTTTCATTGGTTGCGGAATGAGGGTGTAGAAGTCTAGTATATGGAGAAGCTCAGTTCCATAAAGAAAACGTCTTGCTAGTAAGATTTATTGTCGAACATTAGTTTTTTGTATAGTTGTTTTGCAAGCAGTAGCTTTCTGCGAATAGAAGTAATCGATAAGTTCAAAGATGGAGATGCTAGGATAAAGCAAGAGCTGGCAGGGCCCATTCGTCAATTCCTTTTTGGCGTCAATTGTACAAATTTCATTTTTCGTAAATAGGCACGCACAAATGCTTTGAAGCGAGCGAGCGAAAGTGGCTTCTTTTTTTGCTCGGTCAAAAAAAAATCCTTTGGCAGCGCAGACCCTATGTATCCTTTAATGTTGCGACATAATCTACGAAAATTTCTCTATCTATCTATTGTTATATAGGATGCCTATCAGTTCTCATAAGGGAGCATTGCCATGTCAAAAAAGACAGGTTTGAAGAAAAAAAGTGTGAAGTTTTTAAGTTCTTGCTTCTTTCTTAACAAGGATTTTCGCAGGTCTCGATATGTATCTGATAGCCAAGGAACTACTCAACACACAAAAACTTTCTGTGTGTTGAGTAGTTCCCTGGCTATCAGATACATATCGAGACCTGCGAAAATCCTTGTTAAGGAAGAAGCAAGAACTTAAAAACTTTACAGCGTTTTTCTTCAAATCTCGGAAAAAAGTTGATTTTGGAAGAATTTATGACAATTTGAACTCAAAAAAATCAAATCGGACAGAACTTATGCAGCAACCTGATAAATCTTTTGATTGGTTGGAGAAATTGAGCTGCGCGTGTAGTGTTCTATCCAAAATGTCTAACGATAACTTTTGCTAGATGGTTTTCGTCCATCATGACGTATGGAAAGAAAGATGGTACCTTTTGATTTGAGCACTTTTCTAGATTGCGCACTAGCTGTGCTTTCTCTGCTGATGTAGGGCTTTGGGGCTCTGTGTGTCGAGAAGATCAGTGAGTTTGCTGAAAATCCGGGCACCTTCTACTTCCATAGTTTTCTTCCTCTTGCAAGTGGTTTTATGCTAATAGACGCCAGCTCTCAATCGAGCAAATTTGAAAGGCACGAAGGTTGTTCAATTGAAATGAGGCCTAGTGGCATTTTGCATGTGCAATGGCCGCAGCTTAGCGATCTAGCGGTAATGCATAGCCCCCCTACAGTAAATGTGATACGCACCTTTTTTGTGAAGATGCCGCACTAACTTTTCTGCACCTGGCATAGCTTTACATTCTCGGAATAAGTGATCCATCAGCGCATAAAATTGAGTTGTGTATTCTTTTACGGTGATTTTACCGTCCAGACCTGCCTAGATACTTCTAATGATAAACTCGATAAGTTCTGAAAAAACTCACCGCTTTTAACAGCAGTGGGAAGCCTTCATCTCTTTTCCTGCCCAAAATCACTGAAAGTGTTCACATGTTATGTTGCTAAAAACCAGTGCTTGCTATTTTCGTTAATTTTTCAAGGATTTGTTAGAAAACTTCAATTGCTTGAAAATAGTACCCATTAGAGGTCTAATATGAGGCCATTTTTGAGAATTGCATGAAAGATCGTGAAAGATAACTTGAGATAGCATCGTTTCTACGTACTGGCGTTGTACTCGGGGGTGAACTCTAGTCCAAATTTGCGAAAAAGCATCTTATTGGCAAGTGTATAGCTGCTTTCCGTGTCCACTAGTAGGCCGTCGAAGTCGAAAATAACATGGGTTACAGACATGGAGACCCATCCACCAACCGAGTGAACTGTCAAATAAATTGTGGACCTCATCAGCCTTATCGGCCGTTGAAACAACAGAGTTGCTTTAGTCGAAAACGCTTTGCATTAATATTTCTGAGAGCATGAATCCGATTTTTGATGGGAACTTCTGCGGATAATTGATATTCAACTTGAGACCGTCTAGATTCAAAATTGAAAATGACTACGAATTTGATCATTGCGATGAGCTATCAGACGTTTTTCTAGCAGGTAAATCGTATTTGCACTTAAGGCATCATGACATCAAATACAGTGTGGGTAGGTGGAACATCTAGAGCTGCTGGCCAGTTTTAGCAAGATTCTTTTTCTTGAAATGCAACGACTTAGCAAATTCTCAAATCTCCTAATATGTTGAGTTTAGTCAAATTTATGGAAACTGACAAAACTTCGGAACTTTTTTTGAGGCATGATCACATTCTTTTGTGATACGAAGGGCGAAATTTTCAAGTGACATTGTTGCAGAATTGAAGCCAATGTTGAGCAGTATAGCACCCTTTTTGGAGTAATTGGCGATAAATGGGCTTGAAGCACCCAGCTAGAATGCCGAGGCATAGTGCACGCCTGATAGCACCAATCCTCCATGCTATACCTAAGCGCGACAACTAACAATGAATAATCTATACATATCGTCGAGTCATTTGTAACTTAATATGCCTAGTGCACACACTAAACGCTAACTGACGAACTGCAAAACTAGAACATGCTCACTTCCTGTGATTACTTTTTCTTTCCTTATTTCTCTTGTTTTTATTGGTTACAAGTTAGTTAGTAGAACACATTTCTACACTTTGTTGGACTAGAAAATGTTTTACTGGGAAGTTACAAATATGGGTGCCGTCACTAATAGGGTATAGTGTGCAGTCTCACGCACTACGTTACAAATGACTCGAGGTTATGTAGTAAAGCCGCGTGTTGGTAAATTGTTAGTGTGTTCTTCATATAAGTTTTGTGGGTGAACCGATTACGCGAAATTTTGCAAGCTATGTTTTCGACGCCGGCCCAACCCCTAGGCTACTTTTCGCGGCAAAAATCCCATTCCTTCTATTGATTTATTGATTTTGAAGAAAAGTGAACTCTCATTAAATACTATCAAATTTCCGAGTTTCGAGTGAACTATAGGGGTAGAACTCATTTCCATCCCACGATGAGGAAGATGCGGTAATTCACGTCAATGCACTCAGCAGTTATATGTTCTATACCGAGGTACAGAAGGAAGCCAGAACGCAGATAAGTTGACTTTTAATGTTACTCTTCAAATTTGCTCTTTGTTGAGCCAGTTGAACCCACAATGCAGGCGAAGCTGGGCATGCCAGCTAGTAATAAATAAGTTGGTTCATAAGCTTGACATCCCGCCATAGTTGAAAGGATCGAAATTCTAAACTTTTGAACAGATACTGCTGTTATACTGCTACTTACAGCTGTTAAACCTGTAATTAATTAACAAATACGGAACGAGGGCCCTCCCGTGATATCGATGCGCGATGATAACTTCTCACATCATATGGCTTTCAAGTAGCTTCAGAGCAGTTCCACCGCGCGACGACAAGTCTTGGAACATCGCCACATCTGCCTCAGCTGCTCCCTTAGCTCTCGAGTTTGACCTTGATTCTGATTCAGCTTTACAATAACGCGACCTAATAATAAAATCCAAAACATCCTTCAATTTAAAAGACACCCTGCTACTGCTTTTTTAGGAGTCCGCGGCTGAGATACATTTTGTAACAGAACTCAAATGATTCGATGAGGGCGCAAGTGCAGGAGGGGCTGTCTATAGTGCCGAGCCGCAACGGGCCAACAAAGGAGGGGTTCAAAGGAGACGCCGGCAAAACGTATCGCCTACCGTAATCGTCGAAGGATAGTGCAGCAACCTCGCTCCCGGCCTCCGTGTTCCGAGAAGCTGCTTGCATCGCGATACGCAACACTGAGGGATTGTTTCATTTTGAAAGCAGTGGCTCGGCAGATTCTCGACTTGAAGTTTTTTTCGCTTTCTTGGGGGTAATTCAAGGCGCTGATTCCGAAGATCCACCTTGAAGAGCGCGAAAATGGCAAAAATTACCATTTCGAAGGGCCTCCCATTTTGAATTTGGACGAGCGCAGCACGTTCCACCATGGCTAGAGAGGTAGAATCGTGGACCCTCATTATAATATTGCGGCATGCCCTCTCTGACGGGTCAGAGAGAATCGCAAGCTCGTCCGCGTGTATTAGAATGGCTTGCGCGAACGGGGTTTTCTAGGCAAAGGCAGCACTAGGCGTTCGGCTGCTCTATTCTCATGTTTGGGGTGCAAGCAACCTTCCATGTCAAAATTTCGGGATGTTCGGTTCTGGCGAACTGCTGCCTTTAATGCAAGACTAACATTTCGGAAGGGAAAGTCATCTAACGTAGCCATTCTTTCATGGAAAAAGAGTGTTTTTTCACAAAGAAAACTACGGACGATTCAAATGAAAAATGAATTTTCACAGCGAAAAGAAAATTTTCAATTTCATACTGCCCCCGAATTCTCCTTCCTGATTTCGCAGTAATGCAAAACTTTTTGAAATAGCCACTTTCCTGGGAGCCAGCTGGCCCAAGCCTAATACAGAGTGTCCCAAAAAAAATGTCAACACTGTTTGATCGTTAATAACTTCCTGGCTTTCAAGTGTTTCGCCGAGCTTTAGGCACCATTTTGTAGAGCGAGGACACTTAGATTCACAGTATGGAGCGAATCATCTAGCCTCCTCGTTACTGTAGAATTACTGTAGGAAATTTGACAAGGATTTTAGGCTATTAAAGGCCATTTTCTGCTTCGAAAAAAGAGAAACAAGCTAAAATCTCTTGTACTATGGTAATGAAGACCGCTGATTTCGGATATGAAATTTTAATTTTATTATGATACTTCTTTTTAAAGTTATCCTAGGTAAAGGGTAATCTGAGTTCCCAGCATGTGTCAAAAATGTGATTACACCGTCCAAAAAAAGCTGAAAACACTCATAAAAAGTTGTATAGTAAAGTCAGCGTGCGCGAAAACCCTAGTACACGATTTCTCAGATTTTTTGGAAAAATTTTGTCAGAGGGCATATTTCACGACGGTTCCACATGCTGGAAATTCTTACCGTAATCCTACAGAAACGAATAGCAAACGGTGATTCGCTCCATACTGTAAATCTAAGTTGAACCTCCTTCTACAGAATGGTGCCTCAAGCTCGCCGAAAGACATGAAATCAAGAGAGTTATTAACGATCAAACAGTGTTAACATTTTTTGGGACACCCTGTAGTGTCAATATTGGATCCTGCCAAAAGGTCAGAATAATGTGGGAGCAGTCGTATGAAAAGCCCTCCCCCCTCCTTCTACAGTATGCAAGACGCGGAGGTGCGAACTTCACACCTCGCATTTCGGAATTCCTCATCGTATGAAAAGTCATTCACCCGGCTCACACAGACATTAGAAACAATGACTGAAAGAAGAAAAAACGATGTGAAGAGCTCAGCAGACGAAAAAGGTTAAAGGACAGGGATGCTGCGAGCTACTAAGTCCCTGCGCGCCGCAGCGTACTGTCAAGCTGGAAAGGCTCCGAAAAAGCACGCACAAGGTGGTGTAGTTGCACGAGTCGGGGCAGTCGTCGATGAATTTCCTTTACCTCGTATTCGAAGAGGCAGGTGAACGCGTGCAGGCCTTTTATAAAGATTAGCTCAATAGCTATTTAGAGCTACCACTTTCCTCCCTACACTTTAATGATACCTTCTTCCTTTTCGGCTATTTTGGAACTGATAAGTTAATTGGATGGAAAATATAGGCTAAAGGAAGAAGAATCCTTATTTCTTGAAAATTGCAACCGAAAATTTTTTGTCTTTTGAGAAAATAATTTCAGTTTAGCAGTGTAATTTGTGACATACGGTAGTTTTGGATTAGCTCGTCCAGAAGGACCAATAATGAATACTCGAAGTCCTGAACAGGGCCCGGCACGAGGTGGACAAATGACAAGCTGGAGATCGTTTTTGGTAGAAAAAGCAAAGGGGAAATCGTTTTTTCGGGGTTCGGGCGGAGCCCCAGAAGAAGATTCCAAGTGCAAGCAAAAGAAGGTCGAATTCTGCTTATTACCTTATACATCTAATTCACAGGGAAGTGGTTTCCTTAAAGGCAGTGTCCAGGCAAATCTGGACCCTTTGGTTTTTTGCGTGGAAACTGATGAGGGGCCACTGACTAAACCACTGCCCGAGTTGCAGCGCACGGGATTCACTCACGGCAGAGAAATCGGCCTCCGAACTCGTCGTCTCCGCGCCGTGACCGTAACACCTTAACAGCCTAAACGCACATCATGGTCCCGGCGCGAAACCATGAGGACAGGCTGTAGCGCGGAAACTCGCTGAAAAAAATTCCACAAATTCGAAATGACACGGAAAATGAAGATAAACCATATGAAATCAACTAAAACACCATGAAAACACAGAAAAGACGAGAGAAAACAAGTAAACAACGAAAACAATGGCAAATCACAACAAAAGAGAAGGATTAGGAAATCTGCAGTATTTGTGCAACGAGTTTCCGCGCTGCACCCTCTCCTCATGGTTTCGCGCCGGGACCGTGATGTGCGTTTAGGCTGTTGAGGTGATACGGTCACGGCGCGGGGACGACGGGTTCGGAGGCCGATTTCTCTGTCGTAAGCGAATCCCGTGCGCTGCGACTCGGGCAGTGGTTTAGTCAATGGCCCCCCATCAGTTTCCACGCAAAAAAACAAAGGGTCCAGATTTGCTTGGACACTGCCTTTAAGCCTCAACGCACAGCATAGTTCGCGCGCGCTACGCCGCGTCGCGACGTCGCAGAAGCGATGCCGTTGAACAGCATGATTACATGATAAGTTCTCAATGCAGGCGTAACGATATAGCACCAACTTACGTAAGCGCACGAAAAGAGGCTAGTAGAAACAAAGTTTGAAATATTATGAAAAGTTTATGTGAATGGGAGGTGTAATAAGCATTTTTTC